GTATATTCAGTAATCACTTAGGGTGCGAAGAAGAAGAAGAAAAAAAACAAAACAACAAAAAAGGGCATATTTATTTGGAAACAGAGCTTTATAGTGTTAATCCAGGAGGATTTTTAATTGGCAAGATGCCAATCATAAAAATGGCTAAGGTTTCAGTTACTTTGTAAGGCAATTATTAGCTGCTGTACAAAGCATCTGTTCAGAAACTCTTGAGTGTTTTTCTGTCATAGCTCCCCGATGACATAGTTTGGCTTATAAATTACAAAGTTTTATTAAAAAAAAAAAAGTGATGTGTAGGTCTCCTGAAATACCTCTGTTCTTAAACTAGCTTTTCCAAGCATCAGTTCAGAGTTTATATTAAAAAGCAGTCACTTAAATCGTACAGTCAGTTACTCAGAAAAAGAAGGCTTAGCCTGCATTTAATGACTCTCTTCCTATTTCCAGCAGTTCTCCTTAATACAGCTTTGAGACTCCATGGTTCCTCTTTCCATCTGTAGTAAAATGAGCTCTGAATTTAACGACAGCTGTGACCAGCACAGCCCTTAGCTCAGGCTGGACAAGGACTCTCGCTGTCTGCTCTCCAGGGCCCCTGGCTTCCAGGCAGTGGCACCTTCAGCCTTTTGGGCACCACCAAAGGATGGGCCCGTGAGCGGCCTCAGCGCTCGACGCCTGCTTGAGTACAGAGATGCAAAGCTTTCGAAAGGGCATTAAACGTTCCTACAGAAAGTTGGACATTGGATCTGGGGAAGCAGCTGCTAGCTGGACGTAGAGCTGCTTTCTCCAGCAGGTGGGAAGAGCAGAGCGTGTTGTTTGGGCAGGTCTTGTGCTGGGGGCACTGATTCATAGCAAACATGGATTTACAACAACCAGGTTGCTGTCTCTGTGCAGAGTTTTAAATCTGTGTTTTAACACATTTTTTTTCCTCAGTTAAATAAGATCATTATAGTATCTTGGGAGAAAATGCACCCACTCGTGCTTATTGTGTGTTTTCTTGTTTTTGATTTTTAAGTGTTTTTTTCACCTACTCTAAGATACTGTTTGAAATATGGTACTTCTTTGTGAATGAATTTAAAATATATATCTATATTTTCCAGCTGTGGCTTCACCAAAGTCTAACAAATAATTTCATCACAATTCTTCTTTAATTTGTCACTACTTCACAGTAGCTGGGATATCCATTGGCAATATTAAGAAGAAAGAAAGAGCACTGAAGAGACTGAAGTAACAGCGATATGGACTTGTCTTGGTTATTTTAGTGGGTTATCCCTGAGTAGTGAGTGATGCAAATCGGCATCCTGCTGCTAGTGGGAGAGGTGGTGATTAACCTACAGTGTGCTGCCCACAGTTGGCTTGTGTTAACCCGTAACCTCTCTTAATCCAACTTGCAAACCCAACAAAAACATTTTTTCAGCACCAGCAAACTATTAATTTGGCTCAAAGCATCTTATGAAGCTGTCTCCTAAAAAGATACGTACAGTATTAGCAGAGGAAGAAATGTGGCTAGAAAATTCATTTGTTTTTTGTTAATAGATAGACAACACCTGTAGCTGTTAGTCCTTACCTTTTTCATAAGCACCAAATTATATTAATTTCTCTGCTTGTTACTGATGTAACAGTTATTGTTTTAAGTTCCTTTTCTTTGTCTCAGATACTCGTGATTCATTTCTAGCTGCAGCCCAGGGTTGGAAACCTCTGCATGTTGCACCTTTATTCAGGGTGAAGAAGTGACTCCGCTCGCTCTGCAGTCCCAGTGCGCCTAAGGCAGCCTGACCCCTGGTTCCTGGTAGAGATATCCTGAGGGACAGAGCAAACAGGCCCTCCCTCAGGCCCTGCGGCAACACGGAGAACCTGGGAAGAAGGCCCATGGGGGCCTGCAGATTGAGGGTGACAGCAGAAAGTAGCCCCATGGCTCCCCGGGACACCAGCACCAGTGTCGCCCCGGAGCCGCCTCAGGCTTTGCCAGAGCTGCGACGCCAGCAGTCGGGCAGGGTTTGGGTTTCAGAGATACCCCCGGCCATGGTTACGGAGTGCAAAGTGCCATATCCCTGCTGAGGCTGCCCCAGCCCATGGCACGCTCGGGCTGTAGGAGCCGTTTAGCTGTAGTTCAGAGTCCGGGCAGAGAGCGTCACTGCTGGCAGACGCCGCTGCTTAGGCACGGGGTTCCTCTCGGTAACCCTGACGCCACGGAAACTTCCCATCCACACTAACCTACAAAACCGGAACCGGGAGCGATTAGGTCAGCATTGCTGGCCCCAGCACGGGCAAGCCCACAGCGCTACGGCCTTTGCTCTTGTGCAGTCCCCTCCTGAACTAGCCCATCATTAACTAAAGATGTTTTTAGGCGCTGGCAGTCAGAGAGTCTCTGTATCCAATCTCCACGTGACAATACTCGCAGTGTGTTACTGCCACTGTTTGCTACCACGTCTCCCTTTGTGCCTTTCCCAGCCAGGATATTAGGCCTCATGCACCAGCTCTCCCTGCGTCCCACCATGCAGCTTGCCCCCCTAGTTCTGTGCCTAAACCTCTTTGGGGATGTCAGCTGGAAGCGTAGCTCCCAAACTGGTTCAATTTTCCAGCAGGACGTGGTGTAGGACAACCCATAGAACCGGCATTAAAACGAGCATCAGCACTTGGGCTGATCTGAGGTTCCTAATGCCCCGGTCTGCGTTATTCTGTGCTAGCTGGGAGCACAGTGCAGAGCTCGGGAAAACCAGCTGGCCGGGCGCTTGGGAGGCTGCCTGCAGGCCGCAGCGGCGGAGGAGGTGGGGCTGGGCAGGAATGTCTGCGCCCGTCTCTGTCCTCGCCAAATGATACGGTTGCTTACACTGTACACCTTGGGGCTGCGCCTGGGTTTCTTTCTTTCTTTTTTTTTTTTAATTTCAAATCACATGATTGTTTAGTGCTAGCGGGTGGGGTGATTTGTTGCTACTGTGATTTAAAAAGAGCATAAAAGTCCCATTTTTGGTGTATGCCTGCTGCTTCTAGGCAAAGGGCAAAAAAAAAAAAGTTACTGAGATGGTTGTGTTGTGTTTTATGGTGCATTTTTGCCTGCTGTGTCAGTCAGTCTGACTCTTTCTTTTTTTTATCTCCCTGACTGCTCCACCCAAAATTCCTCAAAACTACGGAGAGAGAAAGGGTGTGAAGCAGGTTTATTACCAAGCTAAGAAAAGAACTAAGGCTCATTCGTGTCCTAGGGAGAAGAATAGTAAAGCAGACCTTTGTACCATTCTGATAAATACACTGGAATTTTCTAACACAGATTCAAATTAGTGGCAAAGGATAAAGAGGCCAGCCCTCTACTTTTCCATCCATTAAAAGTAATTTCTAAAGGAATGTTTTAAACAATTATAAAAGTGTGCGGTACCAGGGAGTGGAAATAATACAGGATTTGTTCTTTGTATCACAATTATTCTGGGAAAAAAAATGATCAGATAAGATTCCTTCATTGAAACCAAATTATCTTCTTGGACAAGTATTAGTTTGCAAATATGCTTTAAAGGTTGTAAGTTATATTTTATCAGATTCTTTGGTGTGTAGCTTTACATGAGCTTCCTTTGTAAATTAAAGTTCAAAAGTTTTGATTTGTTTGATGGTCACCTTCTAGAGAGATTGTCTGGTAGTCAAAATTCATAAAATATTTGTCAGCCTTTTACATTGACTTTCATGTTTTGGATTTGCTTCCCAACCAGTTCCTTCTATGTGCTCTGTTATTCCTACTTACAGTCTCAAAGGATATGAATGGCTTAGAAATCAGTTACATTTTCAGTTAAGGTGCTCTCTGACAGAAGTAGCGGACTGTAGTATTAGTCCTCCAGGCTGCAGGAGAGGCTGGTTTTGGTGAGCATCCTTTAATTTAGGAATTCATTTCATTTTGATCACCAAAATGAAGAAATTGCTGCTTTTTAAGGGTACTGTGTGGAATACTGGTTGAGGTGGTACTATTCCTCCTGCCTTATGCATGTTGTGTTTTATTCCATGTACTTGATAAATCGATTATTTTTATTCATGTATGTGTATTGTCTTAGAAATGCAGTGCTTTAGGCACGTGAAATGATTCCAGTGTGCATTTTCTCCCTCTGTTTTGCTATCTAGTAGAAAAACAGCAGCACCAACTTTTTTGGTAGAAACTGAACAGGAATAGGCACCAAGTAAAGTATTAATTCCACTTGTAGCTTGTTAAGAATTAAGTGTTTTCTCTTTCTTTCAGTTGAAGCATCTTGTCATAATGGAGATGAAACAATGGAAACAATTGAGGCTGCTGAAGCACTTCTCAATATGGACTCCCCTGGTCCTATGCTGGATGAAAAAAGAATAAGTAATTTGTTTGTTTGTTTATTTGTTTTACTGTAGGTAAATCCAATCTGTGTTTGCATCGTTTTATTTGTGAAAGGAGAAGGGATCCAGTGTAGCACAGCTGCATGGAAGGGCTAAGGATATTTTACCTCTATATAGACTTTACATATGTAGTTTGAGTATCAGAAATCTAGTGGTGAAGGATTGTGTGGCTGTGAGAGCCTGTTGATCCCTGAGCTGGACACTGATGGGTAAGGAAAGGCTCAAAAATCAGAGAGGGAAGATATAAATATAATGAGGTTGCCCAGACTGCTGTGTTTTGTCTGGCTGTTAAGAGGATGAGCCTGTTTACACTGGTAAAGTAAAAGAAAACATGCTTACCTCTGCAGATTGTCTTAAAGGTGAGTAAAACCATGCTATGATATCATGATTTTGTTTTTCAGAGGAGTGGGATGTGTCATTAAATTACTCAATTTTAATATGGCGTCTGCTTGTGTAAAATGTTAAGAATTATTTTCCCCTCCCATGAGGCCTCACATATATAAGTTTTATTTATTTTTAAACCTGTCCTGTGAAAATAGCTTTTTAAAGCCCTGATAGCTCTGCAGAAGTACTCACATTATGCCTTTCCTTTAAGCAACCATGTTTGGTGCAACTGAAGATGAAGACATAGTGGCTCCTATCACACACGTATCGGTCACCCTTGACGGGATCCCCGAGGTGGTGGAAGTCCACCAGGCCCCCGATCCCTACGCCGAGTCCCCGGAGACTCCGGAATACGAGCAGCCAAAGAAGAAAAAAGGTAGGATGCTCTTGGAGAACAGAGGTGTGAAATAAGATGGCTTTTGGTGGCCCTTGTGTCTCCTTGCAAGTATTTTTGCGGACAAGGTGTCCAAAAGTGGTCTCAGCTGGAAGTGCAGAGAAAACATTTTCTTGCTGGTGCCGTGAGCCCAGTTGCTCAGTTACTACCGATGTTTGCGAGGTAGCAGTGACCGCTTATCTCACAGGAAACATGGATCTCTGCTGTGCCCTATTTATAGTTGCTTCTTCAGAGCAGAACTGCCTTGCAAGCTACAGAGCTTTTGTTCTCGTGAATGCAGTTGTTGTGAAGTATTCTAATTAGCATCTGCTCAGCTTCAGCTACAGATATTTGCTCCATTAGGAATATGGAAAGAGAGCCAAGGGGTTGTTGGCCTGTTGTTTTTGAGAATTTGAATATGGACTGTTTAAACTTTTTTTTTAAACTGTAATAAGTGTTAGTTTTATTTGCAATAGTTAACATTTACCTAGTGGGCTGAAGCTCTGTCCTCTGAGCGATGTTCCATTTTTTGCCTGTTTTCCTACCCTGCTTCAGTGTGGACTCTTTCAGCAGCGCTGACGTTGATGTTTTCCTCGTAAAAATCTTGGAATGCAGCCAGAAGTAAGGGGCTGTTGCAGCAAATAAAAACCGAAAAATTGGGACGGGGGAAAGAAAGGTTGTTTCCAGAGCTAATCCTAGGGCTAAATCTGAGCATTCAAGCTTTGAATGATCCCTGTGGAAAAGTCCCTTCCAGGACAGGGTTACTACTACCCTGTCATACCCCAGCTTTGAAAGAAACTGCATTTTGGCTCATAGTGAAACCATGCAAGTCCCAAATTTTGAGAATACCTTTCTGTGAACGATAGCCTGCGGGCCTGTGGAAATCTAGTAGAGGCTGCCTGAAGTGCGCATGCGTCCTGAGCCCTGCGAGGGCAGGGTGTGGATCAGGAGAGCTCCGATTCCCGTAAAAAGCTGAACTGAAACTGCTGTGGAGGAGAGCTTTACCAGCAGCTACCCTGCTGGGGAAACCACCGTGCCCTGCGCGGGCCCGCGGCAAAACCCAGCTGAGGAAGGTCTTGTTTTAACGTGGTTTTTTTCTTCTCCTTAGCGTTGGCTGCTGTGTGGGTCAAAACAAGGAGCCTGTGCGTGCCAGGCGTTTAACCTCTGCTCGTCTTGACGCTTTTTCTCTTTTGTTGATGTTCCTCTGCCCCCTCCCACTCCTTCCTCCTCCCTTGCTGTAGCTTGGGAAATCAGTTGTTCCACAGCAAATATGGTTGTGTTAGACACGTATGAGACAGAGAAAGCGCTAAAGCAGGCGCGTCAGCTTATGGTTTCATTAACAACCAGTTTTTAATGAAACTGAGGCTTCGTAAGGTCAATGGTCTGAATCATGCTGAAGTGCCATTTCAAAACATACAGGGATCTTTTAAGACATTTTAAAAGCATTTGTGTTCGCAATTATTGCAAAACGTTATTAGTTTTGCAGTGCACTTCAGGATGACTTATTTGTGTGTATTTGTGCAATCTGTTCCCCTTACTCTGGCAGCTACGTGGCAAGGCAAAGGGCTGTAACCCTCCCCTGTCTGTGGAGCACCCCCTAGTGCTGCTCCCCGTCTCCTGTGCTTGCTGGGATAGTTCCTGTACATTGCTGGTATGGTGTATCCTATACACTTTCTCTTTGGGATATTCTCAGGAACAGAACTCCGTCTCCTGGAGATCCGCTTCAGCCCCTGCAGCACAACACCCTGCAGTGAAAGGCCTTAGGTCTCTCTGCTGTGTCACATTAAAGGCCAGTCTTCCCTTGTGTGCTGGTCTAGTGAGAGCAGCTGAAGGCAGATGCCGTGGGGAGGATAACTGCACAAGTGGCACAGGCAGGTGGTGACGCTTCTCCAGAATCTGCTCCGACGCTCCAGGGATTCGGGGCTTAGGGACTTCCAGGGCCAGCGGTGGCATCTTTGTATTCAGGAACCCGCTGATTTCCCTTTCATGAGCTTACTCAGTTGTCCCTTAAAGCCATGATAGCCTTTAGTAACCAAACAACCAGGGGCAGCCTGTAGTTCATGTATTCATGCCACACTGCTTGCTTGCAAGCTGTCACCCGCCAGCTTGTTCTGATTTCTCTCCCTTTCCTCTCAGTTCTGGACAGTAAGGCTTGTGGTCTTTTCATCTTCTTGATGCCTCTCTGTTAAATAGAAAAGTGTTAGCTGTATAAAATCACAGAAACCCCCCATAAACTTTGCTCAAGCACATATTTCATCCTTCCTCTTTGTAGCATTCTCTCCTAAAAAGGAATTTAGTAATGAGCTCTGAACTATAACGAATTCACACTCTGAACCAAAGGAGGAAGCGTGCTAAAGCATAATGCGCTTTCGGAAAAGAGCTGCTTTTAAACAAAGGAAACATTACCCTGTGCTTCTTCGTTGACTGCAATTTGATGGTATCAGGCGGTGTCTGGAGAGTATATATCTTACAGTGTGGTTTAAGAACATGATCTTAAGTACCTTGGGCCTAGCTGTAGCACGGTAGCATCAACACTTTTCTCTAAAGAAATTCTTTCTTCACTGATTTTGATTTTTGGATGGGTTTGTGCTAGAGCACTGTTCAAAAAAGATATCTTGCAGCAGTTTAGATTGAGGTAAGAGAACCTAGTGTTGCTGTAGCACTCGTATATATCTTTAGTAGCCTAGGTTGTGAGAAATGCATACATTGTATATGGTCGGTACTTGTGTTTCCTCAGGCTGACCAGCAGTAGTTCAGTCATGACTGAGCTGAACCCTAACCTGTTTCATTTTCATTTAAAACCTGGTCTCATTTGGGAACCGGACCCTTTATTACTCTTTTGCCCTACTCTCCTGATATAACATGGAGCTGGTAGTGTCAGTGCACCGAGACCGCTGCAGCCCAGGGCTCCTCAGTGCTTAGAGGGAGTCTGTGTGCTGTAAGGAGGGGCAACAAGGTGAACACCAGCGGAGGTGGGTAACATGATGCAAGGCAGGAAAAGCACTTGCCAAAGCTACTGTCTGGTCCAGCAGAGCCTGGCTGTACGACTTGGCCAAGCGCTGCTGGGGATCACGGGCAGTTCTACAACCCATAATTGTCAGCGGAAGAGGAGACTGCGCAAAATGTACTCCAGGAGTTCTTAATCTTTTCATATGGGCATTTATGTCAGAAGTAATATTGTAGGATTCCTTTCCTCCTGTCTTTATGCAGATTGAGAAAGACATTGGCCAAGATGATGGTAGTCTTTGTGTCAACCTCAGACACGAACCCTGATGAGAATTAGGGGACTCCAGGTATTCCTAGATTATTTTCCTCACTCTCACTGGCTCAACTAGCGATTTTTACCTTTTTTTCCTTCTATTTTCTTTCTGTCTTTCTGTCTTTCTTTCTTAATAAGGAGAGAAAAGGCAGGGAGGGAAGAAAGGGGATAGAGAGAAACAGAGGGAAGGGAGAGAAAAAGAGGAGAGAGGAAGAAATGTGTGCAAAAGTAAACTTAGCAAGACTTCATATCAAAAGGTGAGTGCTCAAGCCCATCTTCCTTATCACTACTTAGAAGAGACATGGAAGTCTATAACAAAACAGGCACCACTGTCTGGCATGGAGCCTTTCTATGCAGTTGTATGATGATTCTTCATTCTGTGGTGGATTTTTTGTGTTAAGCCCCTGCAGACAAAACTAGAACTGGAACGTCATTGTGCATGGGACTGTACGTGTGTACTCCTGGTCTTGGCTCTGTTTAACATAAATTCTTTGGAAACACAATAAAAAATAAAAGTGCTTTTCTTCAGGTCTTTCAGTGTGACTTTGGGATGCTTAGGCTAGAAGCATGTTTCTCAGAGCCCTATGTTTGGCCTATTCTGCCTCTCAAAAAGAGGCAGTATGTGAATAATCTGTGTATTGTCAAGGAACTAATGGCTCTCTGCAAGACGAATAAGGGGTCTCTGATAAGAGGAATATTTGTCCCTTAAGTAAGTCCTGAAGGTATCTGATTAATTACAAAACTTGTGAAAGCTTGTGAAAGCTGACATTGAGGTAACTGAGGATGGTTCAGGGTTTTATACTGAAAATGCTTCGGCATGACGTATATTTTTTTAACACCCCTTGCATTAAGACAGTAGATTTCTCTTCACTTTCAAATGAATGCTTTTCATTCTTTTCCACGGTTGTAGCTCTTCTTTCGTTCATTCTTCCTTACCAGACATGGACACTGTGTTTATGCCTTAAAGTTTTTTTCAGAGCCTGATATGGATTCTCTTGGACTTGAATGAATAACTAACTAGAAATACTCTTTTCTTTCCTGTACTTCCAACTACTTTTGAGTAAGGTGAAAGAGAGTGGGACTAAAAAAATGATTTCTTCACATAGCAGCATAGCTTGCTGCTATCAGTAGGGAATTCCTGTCTTTTAAAAAACCAGAGATTCTTGTTTTATCCCTACATCCATTTTGGGGATGCCTGAACAAGATAGTGCTCTGCACTTTATCCAAGTTTTCCTGTTGAAATCTTCTCTGACCAGCTAGATAAAGTACTCTTTCCACCTTTACTTCTGTAGAAATTGAAAAGCTTAGCCCAGAATCATAGAATCATTAAGGTTGGAAGGACTTACATTAATTAAATGCTCCCTGAGTTGAGGAAGCAAATCTTTTTTAAGATTTTTATTCTGATTTTTTTTTCAGGGAAGAAGCCAAAGCCTCCTCGTCCCGAATCCCCTACTACAACTCCTAACATATCTGTGAAAAAGAAAAACAAAGATGGAAAGGGTAAGTCAAACAGTTGCCTTTGGAGTTTTTTAAGAGATTATTGTTTGTGAGTAACCTTTAGAAAGAAAAAGCCCACTAGCTTTCTCAAGCTGTAAAAACAGATCTGCTCAGATGTGGTTACCACCTCCTCCTAAAAGCAAGGAGAAAGCTTATGCAAGGGTTCCCTTTGAGATAATCAGTTCCTGGGAGGAATAACACATTTGTCCATTTAGTTGCAATGGTTCTTGGAAAATCTTCAATGACTCCCAGAGGCTGCAGTGTTTCAAGTGGCTCTTTTCAGGCTTTTTTGGGGATATGGTTGATTCGACAGCCAATATTTGAAAACGTTTTCCATCTGTCTGTGTCTCATTCTGCATGAAGAGATAATCAAGCCAGCCAGTTGAGCAGCAGGAAATGTCAGGCCCTTAATTTTTAGGGAAAGTTTTAAGCGACTGGAAACCTTAGGCAGCTGAGATTCTTGATAGTTCCTTCATTCCTCCTGTGTCTAAAAAGAAAACTACCTATCACATAATCGACATAATAAATCATTCTCTGCAGGCTGAGCTACTTGGTGTTGCCTGCCAGTTTCCTCAGCATGTGGGTTGCTCTGCCATGGGTCCAGCACCCAGGCTGCTGCAGAGGCTGCTTTGGGTGGCAGGGGGCTGCCCTGGCTCCCTGCGGCGTTCAGCGCCCTGCACGAGCTGGAGAGGAGCCTCAACAACGTGAAAATACCAAAATAGCTACCTAGATATCAAAATATCAAAATAGTTAAAAGGCAGAAGAATGTTTCAGTGGATGAAAACAAAGGATGCACGATAATGTTTCATATTTGTGATTATTACAAAGTTACGAATTCGGAAGGAATTGAAAAGGACTGTGTTGGTGAAACCACTGCCTGTTACAGAAAAAGCTAGCACGGAAGTGTTTGTTTAGCATTTTGAGGAACAGAATTAAAGTAAAAGGGATATTGGTACGACCAGTCATAGAACTGAAGCAGCTGGAAGGTCATATGAGTTGCCTTTTAATTCATGCATAGGGAGAGCATGTATTCTAAAATAGCAAATTTTTGATATAATTATTTTATGCAATGCCTAAAGAAAACTGAATTTTCTACTTAACTACTTCTGCTGTGATCCACAGAAGTGACTACATTATTGGTCTATGAGTAAAAACATTGTATTTTCAGACAGTCCTTTTCATAATGATTTTTCAATAGCTGAACAATGACAAATATCTAGACTTGTCTGCATGCACTTAAGCATTTTTAGTCTAGACTACAACAAAAGCACCTTGGACTAGGTGATAAGCGCCTGGGAATGCCCTCATTCCTGACTAAGGTTGTATTTTACCTGAGCAATCCTAACCTTTCCCTTTAGGGTGTCCTAAGGCAAACAGTCTGACATTTCTGTGTAAGCTTGAAAGCATTTGGTGCAAAGCCAGTGGGTTTTTTTTTTCCTGGAAATGTTCACTCTTCAAGTTACAACCTTCTGAAGGAGCTACTGACATTTTGGACTGTCAGTACTGATGACATTGCCAAATACCTCAGCAAAATCCCATTATAAAAGTACTTGCAAGTAATCTCCAAAACTTTAGGCAAATGTTTTTTTTTTCACCCCTGGAACCAGCTAACTCAGAGTGAGTGCTCGATGCAGTGGACAATGATCTAACATTATAATATAATGACATAGGAGTATTAAGAATTTGTAGGGCTGCTTGCCCAGTTTAAGAAAAGTTCAGACTTGAGCTCACTGAAGTTCAGAAGACTGCAGAGTAAAACTGCAGGTAACATGATGCTCTCCCTGGGCATCAAGTTTGTGAAACTGAAGGAGTCTGCACGTGCCATCCTACCTGTGTTTTCTGTATCATTGCCTGTGTGAGGAGATACTTTCATACTAGAAGTTTTCTTCCTTTTTCAGACTAACAGTATATTACTCAGAAGCTTATCTACAGCTACAAGTGTCCAAAAGCACATCAGACACTGCAAGCCATAGTCAGAAAGAAACAGGAGTAAGCATCTCAATAGTTACATGAGTTTTCACTCCTTAAATGCATTTTGGGGGAGGAGGAAATGTAATTTTTGTAATAATTTTAAGCATTCATAATCTGTATTTTTAATAGTCTCATTTTTTACTGAGGCTAACACGGAACAGATGTGTTGGATTTTCAAATGTAAGTGTATTCGCTTATTTGTAAAATGGAGTTTGGATGTTTCTGCCAGCGTAGTCAACCCATTTGTGTTGGGAAGAAAAAAAAGTTGCTCTGAAAAGTTGCTTTTGAAGGTTTGTCTACCTCAGCATATACTGTTGATTATTACATATAAAACCAGTTGTTAAAAGTAAGGATTTTATTTATCCTTTCAAAGGACTGTAACAACCATCTCAGTTCAGCAAATTTCCAGTGGTTTCAGAAGATGACCACAAACATATTCCTATTCCAGGTAAAATAGTAGTGACTGCTCCTGTAGTTGGACTAGGCGGAAGGGCAGGGTACAAGGAGGTGATTAATGCTGTATTATATTGATGCTTTGAATGGACTGGCTCTTTATGTTATTGATAATGGCATAGCATTTGGACATCCAGCTTGAAGTATCTAACAATAATACCATCCCATGCCCTTAGGTCACTTACTTGTTAGTCTCAATCATGAATTAGAATGTATTCATAAAGGTACCAGCTGCTTAACCTTTAGATTATTTGCAACATTAATAAAATCTAGTCAACTAATATAATATTTTTGTCCTGAAATAATTTATTTATTTATTTATTTTTTAGGAAATACAATTTATCTCTGGGAGTTTTTGCTAGCGCTGCTTCAGGATAAAGCTACATGTCCTAAATATATCAAATGGACTCAAAGAGAGAAGGGCATTTTCAAACTCGTAGATTCCAAGGCTGTATCCAGGTTGTGGGGAAAACATAAAAACAAACCTGACATGAACTATGAAACAATGGGTAGAGCTCTCAGGTATGAATTTTTTAATAATACACTTTATTTTGTTGTCAGAGTGTTTTCATACATTAAATGTCACATCTAATTTTGTTTAAGAACAATAGAGAGTATTCTGTCAGCTTGGGAAGCAGAGAAGTTATTTTAGGAAAACAAATAAGCTAATTAAGAGTTATCTAAAGCTAAAAAACAGTCACCTCTTGTATCAGCCTGGACATTTTCACTGCTGTTGCAAAAACTGCTTCTTCAGTCAGCCACAGGCAAAGTAAGAAACTGGAGATAGCAAGCATGGTAGGTATTTATATAAAAATTGAATGTGACTTTTTCAAACAATCTGAAATTTAGGCATATTAGAGCTAGTGAAACCATCTCTACCAAGAGCAAATGATCCAGTTTCTGATGGGAGATATGATTTTGGAATTTGGATTTACGTGGGCTTCTCTGAACTTACGAGTACAAGCAGTTTAAAAGCATCTTACTGTTATCTCTGCCTATCAAATTGGGATATTTCTTATACAGAAAAGATTGTGCAAAACAAGCAGCCATCCATGAACATGACTGACAAGCTTCCGTCTTTCCCAACTGACTGATACTCTGGACGAACAGCTGTGTTTTTCTCTTCATTTTCCTTCCTCCCTCACCTTGGTGTCAACGACACCATTTTAAATTGTCCTCTTAATTTGGAGAAGTGCTGACCTGTTCCTTTTGCTTTCTGGTAGTAAAATGGTCTGTGTTTGCTCAGTGGTGAATAAGCATGAATTCAGGTAACTACAAAACTGTGTGACTTGGGGCCAGTCTGGAGTTAAGAATATTAGCCGGGTCACTGAGTTCTTCTCTTCTCTGCAGTGATACCTGAAACTGAAATGAGGAAATGCCAGTAGAAAAAAAAATGTTTGTGGGGTCAAAATATACTGTTTTAGTTGAGCACTCCTTTATAACTAAGAAAATAGGCAGTAATATTTAAAATGAAACCCTAAACCTCCACATCCTTGCTACTGTTCGTCTTGTCTGTTTTTGGTGGTGGTGGTGGTTGCTCTTTTGGCAAAAACACTGTGTAACTTGATGTATGCTTTAAACAGATACTATTACCAGAGGGGAATCCTGGCTAAAGTAGAAGGCCAGCGCCTAGTGTATCAATTTAAAGAAATGCCAAAAGATCTCGTCTATATAGATGATGAGGACGCCAGTCCTAGCGCTGAATCGTCTGATTCAACTTTGCTCTCAACTCCTGTGGCCAATAGAAACCAGTCGAGCAGATCCAGAGCATCTGCAAATGTGGGAACAAAGGGAGGATCTACCACAGTTTTAAAAACAGGAAATCCAAAGCCTGCTAAACTTAAGGAGCACGTGGAAGTGGCGCAGCAGCAGACGCCTGGCTTGACTTCAGAAGTGTTGAGGACAGTGCAGTCTGCGCAGCCTGCGTATCCCACTCAGCTCTTTCGGACAGTTCATGTAATGCAGCCGTTGCAGTCCCTCGCGGAAGGACATGCGGCCGTGACCAGTAATGTTCCGGATGAAACATTAAACCCCTCGGTTCAGAACATAAGGTAAGAAAGTATAAAGAAAATGAATGTGTGAAGAGTAATAAATTCACTCAAGGATGGCCAGATATGCTGGGTTTTTTTGTTATGCTTCAAAAAAACCACTCGTCTCCTAATTTGGTTCTGGTGAAATGACTAATATGTGAGTGACCTGGGAAGTGTCTTTTGTTTTCTAATACATTGCAGCATATACACCCAGATCTTTGGTGGAGGGAAGCACATCTTTCCTGCAGCATTAGGGCAGATTCTATCATTCAGCACTCTTTCGTGACTGTTTTTTCATTCTATGATCTCTTCACTGTTGAATTACACACGGTATGCCTGCTTGGTCCCTTCAAAGGAAGGTTCTTCTCCTTGTTTCTTAATTTTTCTTCTGATAAATTCTTGTCATTTCTTTCATCTTATGTATCATGCCCATTGCAACAGGGGAAGGCTCTGTGTAGTATTTTGTTCTCATTATGACAGCATGTTCTTCTGATTTTTAGAAAGCATTTATCAGAATAACCTTGTAGGAGTTTTGTATCTGTAAACGGTTGTGAGGAGGCAGTCATACTTCCAAGCTTAATTTGCAAGTCGGCTCGTTAGCACTGTGCAACATCTAAGCATCAATAGTCCTTTGCACCTTCAAGCTGTGAGCAGCATCCTAATTGAAAAGATTTTAGATGTAAACCTCTAAGCCTGGGTTTGCTCTGGTTAGTCCTAGATACTTACCTGAACTGCTTCCCAACAGAGCAGGTTTGTCTTCCCAAGTGCAAAGGATCTAAAACAAATGGTCTTATAATTCAGCATCTTTATGGGGACGTTTGAATTGTATATGATGATTCTGGACCTCAAAGCTATTTTGTGAAAGCTTTAAAAATGCTGCATTATCAGCATCACTCTGAGATTTTCTATTTTAAGTTCAAAGTTCCCATGTTTCTTTCTTTGTGATGTAAGATGG